TACAGTGTAGCACTCAAGTGCTAATATCTTGGAGCCTGCGAGCAGTCTCTCTCCTTTTTCAGATTTAGTGAGGGGCCATTTATTTTTTTTTTTTTTTCATTTATATAATATTGTGATTGCTACATAAGTTCAGTAACATCTGTAAACCTGAAGAAGGCTGGTGTGGCCAGCCGAAATATTGTTATAAAAAACAATACACGTTGTCTTAAATCAGCTTTGCAGTAGTCTTTCGACTTCTCGTTCTTGGTTCTTCAGTGAGGGACGTGCACGTGCGAGCGTGCGTCGACACGATAAACGAGGACGTCTCAAGCCTTCATGCGCTTACAGTCACGCGCGTTTTCCACGACGGAAAAAAGAGAGACTGTTCGTCGTCTAGCCTTTTACCGCCCTTCTTTTTTCTGAATTTTTTAATTTTTGTTTTGTTTCATTTTTTTCTAACTGGACATTTTCAATACCACCACCACCTGAATTACGGGAGTTACATTCACAGTTCTTACATTCAGATTAATTTTCGAGATGGTTCTTCTCAAGGGCTTGTTTTAAATCAGACGATAGGACATTTATTAATCTCTATCAAAGGTATAAAATTTTGACGCCATTTCGTATGTTTCTCCTTTGTGATGCGCCCTTAAAAGAATTGCACGCGTGTCTTACACGCGATGGCGCAAATGCAACATTTGATGGAACCAACCTAATTTTTGCTGGAAAAGGTATCCAGTTGTAGTATTCTACCCCGTTTATGGCTCCTGGTATAGTTAAATAAGTTAAAAGTTTATAGTGAAGTAATAAGAGTTTAAGATGGTGGTTCCATTTATGCGAATGTGCTCACATTATGTATCACTGGTTTTACTAAGTTGAAATACCCGTCTTTATTAGACGTAAAATTGACTATTTATTTCTCCCTTAAATGGTTTGATTTCATGAACAAGATACAACAGTCAGAGGAACAAAGATTTCCACGTTTACGAGTACTCGAGAAGCGCGCGAAACGAGCACTTTGAAAGCTCGCGCGCGAGGCTCATGCGCCAGTTAAGACTGGGTTCTACAAAGAAACCAATATGGCGGCTGAACATGTCAACAAAACACTTGTGTGGTAAATTGGACCCAAAGTGACATTTTTAGACTTCTGGAACTCGGATTTGATCTCCATTGGTTCTTTAACTTATTCATTAACACTTGGCTTTATTCATGGCTCAAAAATTCACGGGTGTAGCATTGCAGAAGTGGTGAAAAATGTGACACATGTCCTGTGAGGTAAGCTCATGTTTGTAGAAAGCTTAACTTTAAGTTTAAGGGTGTTTCGCAGAAAGTGTTCTTCTCATGAACAATGAATATTTAGGTAATGGTACTAAAAGGATCAAGCTTATGTGTTAAATCATCAAGTAATTCTGTAAGAGCCCTTCCCCGAGTTTTTAACCGGGTCATCCTCGGTGTAAAAACTTGTGAAGTTTTTCTTTGTGTTCAAGCTATTATTTTCAAGTGGCTTCTTTGTATTTATTGTTTTCCGCCACTTGTGAGTTTCACACCGAGTACGAGCCTTTTAACCATCCCTTTAGTCTGGTACAAATTACAGTGAAAACATCCCGTCCTTTGTTCAGTCTGTTACAGCTAGAGGTGTCCCTTGAACACCGACTGGTTGTAGGGGGAGAATTATTCCATGGGGGTGGGGGTACTTTAGGATTGTTTGGGTGGGGATGTGCTTCTGGGACCTTGGAACCCTCAGCCTATACCTATACCAGAGCTGCCCAACCTCCCCCCGCCCCCACCTCTATCCTCAGTGGCTGTTTTCCAGAAACTACTGAGGTCACCAGCAAAGTTCAGGCAAAACAAAACCGATTTCCTTTTTTTATATTTTTGAGTGGCAATTCCCAGTTTCCCTAGTCTAGACTCAAATCTTCAATCAAATCCAATTGATCAGTTTCCTGGAAAATGATACCCTATTCTAGACCTTAACTCTCTGATTCACATACCCCATACCAGAATATTCGGCTTGAAAACCATACCCTTCACAGCGGCACATACCTGTATTGTAGTACACTGCCGTTAAGTTAAACATTGTTTATTCTGGTCAATTACACACTTACTCTAAACCGAAAAAAAAGCTACCAGAATAAATTTAACATGACTATATAAATACATGCAAATTCTGTAGTTCCCAAGTGTATAACATCACTTGCATTCATTTCCACACCCGGTCATCACTATACACTACATTCCTTCCTTTCCCAAATGATCAACATATCAGTCTTTGAATTAAGCTAGACACACAATAAAGAAAAAGAAGTTCGAGACAACCACTTCAAAATGCTTATATGGCTTAATAACGCACAGGCAGTCTTAAAGTCCGGGTCGACCTCCAAACATGCATTCCCGCTTTTGCACCTTCCTTTTTGGGTTGCCTAGTTTGTACTCGAGAGTTTTCAGATACTTCAGACGTCCCTTGAATTTCACTTGGTACTGATAGGTCTGTTGTCTGTGGACTTTTGCTTGCCCCTGGCTCATCTGCCCGTACCACAGAACCTGCCTTTACCACTTGGTCTCCATTGCCATTAGATACATCATTGTGCTCATTGTACTTCTTCACAAATGCAGTGTTCCTTTTCAGTTCAACACCAGCCTTGTTCTTAAGTCTTACCTCTGACCCTGTCTTATGAACCAGCTTAAAGGGATCAGGGTTGAAGTTGATAGACAGCTTGTTGGTTTTCTCTGCTTTCAAAAGAACCGTGTCGCCAACGAGTTTGCTCTTAGGGGTGGCATCCCTCTCGACCGTCTCCTGTGTCCGAGGAAGACTCGGTAAAAACACGCTGAGTCATCACTTTATCATTGCCGACTCCTGCAAATCTCGGAAATCTATAAATTGCTGAAGGTAGGGAGTGCTTCTCAGTACATTATATACATATCTTAGAGTGATTTACGTGTTAGCATTAATGGTCACAAGAAAAGAGCCAAGATTTTAAGCCTGTAGTGATGTACGAGTTCGCCTCGCTTGGCTCATAAAGCGCCTGTTATGCAGGCGAGTGCTGATGAACATATGTTAAAGGAACAGTATCCCGTTACTGCGCATGCACCAAACTTTGATTTTTGGACAGGATGTCGCGAAATCAAAAGATGCGAGGAGAGTAAGAGAACCTTGAAAAATCCGTTTCCATCGCGCTTGACCGGGTTCAATACGACACTAAAACTTCTCAGGATTACAGATCAATGATATATTGTTCCTGTTAAGTTTCGATTTGGGCAAAATCTGGATTTTTTGGCGTTACTTTTATTGCCGTTGGCCGGAGGACCAAAAGATTGGAAGCACTTTGATGCCGATTGAAGGCTTATTTCTTCTGCTAGCTTCCATACAAGCTCGGATAATTGTTAAAAGAATACGCAGAAATGAAACGGCAACAATAAAGACTGTAAGAAAGAAACCATTGAGACATTGATGTGACTGAGGAGATCTTGTGGAGGGGAGCTTCGTGAAGCAGAATGTTTTGCAACGACGCGTTAGTAAACTTTTTTAAATGAATCTCCCTAACGGCCGACAAAATCAAACAAACAGGCGCTACATGTTTAGAAAAACTAGTGCCATGAAATCATAATATAATTTTTGACTAACCTTTCTGATGATTCATAGCGTTGAGATTGCATTTTTATTTATGTCTTTCAAACGTTTGAGGCTAGAACGCGAGCAAATCAGGCAGTTATTACTAGACTTGGAACAACTGACCTCTGACACGAGTTTCAAATTAGAAAATATGTTTTTAAAGCGAGCGGAACGAGATTTTCGGGTAGCGAGGCGGCCCAGCTAGCGATAAAATCGCGATAAGTCTTCGAGCCGCGAGCCAAATTTTTATATAAGACGAAAGACTTCTTCAAAAGTCTAAAATATTACTTGAGAATATAAACAACAAATCTCCGTCGGCGGTGCGGTCCGGAAGGAAATCTTGTCGAGTCAATAAGACAGTTCTATTGTCTTTTGAAGAAAAAACAGATGACGCTGGCGCGTGCGCATAATCGGGACACTGTCCCTTTAATTGTTGCTCAGAAATCCCATGAGTATATCGGATTGAGCTGGTTATATTTGCCTTCGTAACAAGCGTATCCGTTTTCTCGTGTTGAAACGGTTGTTACGTTGGCTGATAGACATACTTTAGTTGTGTGGGGGTCCTAGAGATTTATGAGATTCAAAACAAACAGTGCACTGGAGATTTCTAGTTGTTTTCGTCAGGCAGCGTTGCAAAGACGAGGAGGGTGGTTAGGATTTTGTAAATAGGGAAGAAATTGTCTCTCTTACAGTACTTTGCTACATCAACCACCCCACCTTGTATACGACCACAAATGAATCGATGGGTGAGGCTCAGGGCATTACACGAAGACTTACATAAAGTACATACTGTCAAATTCGCGTTTGTTAAAAAATAATCCTGACAGGGAAAACTAGGTTGAATGGTGACCAGTATGGGAGATAATCTAGGCATATATGTTACTGGGCCCAGAACACTGGTGTGTTTTCATTCACAATTGGGGTATAAATAGTTTTGCAAATAATATAAAATAGTTTCATTGCACCTATAGTTACTACTTAGATGTAAAAAATCAGGAACATTTCAGAAATGCTTTTATTGTTGCAAATACATTTAAGAGTTTGCCAATATCTTGTGACAATGCCCCTTTGTTCACCTCACTGGATTTTATTGTTTTAGAAAGTTGAGCCTTTAACAAATAACTGAATTTATTTTATGATGAAAAGGATGTCAAGAAACCTAGAACAACATCACATGGGAAAGAAGTCTTACAAATGTAAGCAATGTGCCAAGAGTTTTAGTCAATCAGGAAACCTAAAGGCATATGAAAGAGTACACATGGGAGAGAAGCCTTTTGAATGCAAACGTTGTGGCAAGTGCTTCAGCCAAGCAGTTACATTGAGAGTTCAAGAAAGACGTCATACTGGAGAGAAGCCTTATGAATGTAAACAGTGTGGCAAGTGTTTTCAACATAGAGGAAGTTTGAGGGAGCATGAAAGAGGTCATACTGGAGAGAAGCCATATGAATGTAAACAGTGTGGCAAGTGTTTTCAACATAGAGGAAGTTTGAGGGAGCATGAAAGAGGTCATACTGGAGAGAAGCCATATGAATGTAAACAGTGTGGCAAGTATTTTAGCCATGCAGCAAATATGAAGAGGCATGAAAGAGGTCATACTGGAGAAAAGCCGTATGAATGTAAACAGTGTGGCAAGTGTTTTAGACAAGCAGCAAATATGAGGGTGCATGAACGAGTTCATACTGGAGAGAAGCCATATAAATGTAAACAGTGTGGCAAGTATTTTAGACATGCAACAAGTGTGAAGGAGCATGAAAGAAGTCATGCTGGAGAGAAGCCATACGAGTGTAAACAGTGTGGCAAGTGTTTTAGACAAGCAGCAAATTTGAGGGTGCATGAAAGAGTTCATACTGGAGAGAGGCCTTATGAATGTAAACAGTGTGGCAAGTGTTTTCGACATAGAGGAAGTTTGAGGGAGCATGAAAGAGTTCATACTGGAGAGAGGCCTTTTGAATGTAAATATTGTGGCAAGTGTTTCAGCCAAGCAGTTTCATTAAGGGTTCACAAAAGAGTTCATACTGGAGAGAGGCCTTATGAATGTAAACAGTGTGGCAAGTGTTTTCGACATAGAGGAAGTTTGAGGGAGCATGAAAGAGTTCATACTGGAGAGAGGCCTTTTGAATGTAAATATTGTGGCAAGTGTTTCAGCCAAGCAGTTTCATTAAGGGTTCATGAAAGAGTTCATACTGGAGAGAAGCCATATGAATGTAAACTGTGTGGCAAGTGTTTTAGCAGAGCCGGTGACCTTAGAAGACACGAAAAAGTTCACACTAAAGCAAGGAGGGGTACACGACACATTAACAGACGTGCGTCTAAACGTTTGCTTCGTCAGCGCAATAGCGGAGGAAGTAACCGAATTGATGTCAGTTCAGGAATTACAAACAACCGACTGGCTCAAAGAGACTCTAGACACGGAAGGCGTGTAGTAAACTTCCAATTAGCTACCGTTGAGACACACAGCTGTTGGATTTGTCAAGAGGAGATGAGTAGTGAAGCTTTTCTTCTTCAACACTATGAAAATCATATGAGGCATGTAGTTGAAGATGACTTGTAAAATTGAATGGTTCTCGTTCAGGTTTTCGTAAATTTCGTTTCTGTTCTGTTAGGTTTTGTCACTGAGTGGAAGCATGGCAACGTTTAGTTTTGGTTACTTGTCATGAGTGGCTTGTATTTTCAGTGGGTTGTTTTTTCTCCATGAAAACTTCGAATTGTGATTTTCTTAGGTGATTTGATGTAGTTGGCAGATGTTTGTTGACGGGAAGAAAAATTCTTTTGCAATCCCGTTATGTTCTTTTTGCGATGGATAATTCAACCAACTTTTTGAAAGAGAAAACATTTGTGGACTATTTTGAAATTTAACATATGGACAGACAATCCTATGAGATGAGCTCGTTGAATAGATGTAGAAAATATAATAATACAATAAAGCAGCCAGAGGTTTTTCAAAACAGTGTCTTATGAATGGCCGACTCTAGAGTGACATGGAGGAAAACTTTACGTTCGCCTCGTTTCCTTGACAACCCATCCGCATAAATTTTCACATTTTTCCGGATTTGAACGCAAGAAGAAAGATAGCGGCTTAGTTTCCGGACGATAGCCTAAGCAAAAAGTTAAAAACAAAACACACAAGATGGAATTTTGAGAACAGCGAGGACTGAACATTCGTGATTGCAGTTTATTGTGTGTTTTGTTGTAGCCTCGTGTGGAGTACTTTCGCCACCCTAGTGGTTCCGAAAATATACGTATTGAGAGCATTCTGACTTTGTTGCTATTCGTAGTCAGGAAACACTTCTCAAATGGACTGACATTTAACATTTGGTCAAACACGCCTATAAGGACTTGAAAAATAAATTGACCCGAGAGAATGCGAGCTTCCAAATCATCTTTTTCACTTTTGTTGACTCTGAAGTGACGTAAAATGCTACCTCTTGTTCAGAGTTCGTCCATAAAAAATCATCCAGGGCCCAGTTGCTGGAGGGCCAATAAACGCCAACCCGGGATTAAATTTTGATCTGAGTTTCTTGCTCTTTCGTTCAAAAGCGTTTTATCGGTTAATTTTCTTTATTCTCTATAGCACATCAAATCATTGCATTGCAGGCAAAAAAACTAAACTGAATTTTCTTTTTAAGCATTCATATCTGATTTTAAACTTCGCACTGGCCCTGGGTTATCTTAACTCTGCTTTGAACATCCCGGCCCAGGGTTAGTTTTCGCGTTTTTGACTCCGCAAAAGCACAAGCGTTTCCTTGACCCGAAAGTCAAAGTGAATACCCACAAAAATACATTGGAAGACACCTTCTTACTATGTTTCCTTTTTCTTTCTAAGCGTTGTCTTCGCATCCTTCTATCAAAAAAACAGAAATAACCACCCATTTCTTATCTAAGAAAATAGCCGACATTTCGTGACGTGACCACTGGTTTCCACCCGAAATGACGTCTGAGGAACGAGCGCAAAAATTCCATACTGATGATGTATCACTGTCCTGATCAGGGTAGTGCTTCTGATTGGTTGATGCAAATTTTTAGCCAATAAGACGAACTACCCAGATCTGGGCAGAAAATTGGTTTGATGTGATTATTCTTCTAACTCGTTTCTTGATACTTGTCGAGTTTTCGTGATCTGGTAGAGCTTTTAAGCAGCGTTTTTTTAGCGATGGACGGCAACCGGAAAAAGAGTTTCTGCATTCTTAGGCGGTTGATTACTCCAAATTTTCGGTCAAATCGTCTCTATAAGAGTAAAGAAACGAAACAATACAAATTTGGTAGCGTCAAACCAAAGGTAAAATCATCAGGATCAAAAATATTTCTGGAATGTTTAATATTATGTGGCAGAGAAAAGCCAATCGGGCGTGAGATGACGTCATTTTACTGCTACTAGCAGAATCCATTTCGTTTTTCCTTTCATATTTTGTTTGATAATCCTGGAGGGGTTTACATAACAAAAGCCCTAATTTGCATAAGAAAGCAAAACCCTAGTCGTAGTAGTCAAAAGACGTCATCGTGCAAATCACCTTTTAATTTTGGCCAACAGTTGACCGGCGCGTACCTAGAGACGATCCCAGATAACATTGCGGGACGCATTTCGGCTCCAGTTCCCCTCTCGTTGGGCGAATGTAGATACCATCGGCTCTTAACGTCTGAGTGAACATTAGACTGTTGCTAGCACCTTAAATTACCGTTACAACACTTTGCACCCTCTTGCAACCTATCTTTGTCACCTCTTTGACGCGATTAAAACGTAATGGATCAAAGGTGTGTAAAATGTAGATTTTTTACTTAATATGCGGTTTTAATGTACTATGTTCTCGACCTTACGAGCAGTTAGCTTAAACTATTTTATCGAGTACTTTTAAAGGTAATAATAATAATAAATAATAATAATAATAATAACTTTTTGATGCTTTTTATAATTGTTATTAGTAGTCTTTAGATAGTCATTTTACAACAATTCTCTTTCGTAGACAAGAAAAATGTACATAGGGTATATATTTTAATATTTCATATTTTTGAATCTGTAAATAGTCTATTTTTTTTTTTAAATCTATGAATAAAGTTTTGTTTTATAATAATAATAAAACTTTTTGTTAAGGGTAACATTTCATATTTCTCGATAATCTACACTTGGCCCGTGGAAAAATAATGAATAAAAAAGACAAAAATCGATAAAAAAAAACCCCTATGATTCATAGGCGAGAATTTGAAGATAAACTAACGAAGGAATTGCTAAAGATTGTCCACTTCAATTCGCTTAAGTTTTTTTTTCGAAAGACGTCAAGGTTGTATATGTATGTAAAGTGAAATCAATTGGATAACCGATCGTACTTCCAGTGACATCGGCGAAGCAGAATTCTGTCACAGACAACTCAGCGCTCTCCGGTGAGGATTAAAGACCGGACCGGCAGAAAAGAGGTAGCCTGCGCGCAAGCTCTCCATTTTGGGAAGTCCCGACAAGTCACGGAAGAGCAACGACTTGCCCTAGCGTGTTTTCTCCCGGCTCGTTTCTCTCGCCATAATTGAATAATTTCCTTGCAGGCTAGGAGAGCGACAAAAATGGAGCCTACTTAATAAAGTTTCACCTGAAAAAAATGTTCAAACTGTTAGAGTTTTAAAGGTAACCATATTGTATGTATTCCGGATAAAGAAAGGCCGAGTTTGCATTAGGCAAATTTAGAAGTAATATGATGATCTTTTAACGCGACTTTTTTTTTGCAACGTATTGTACCGTTGTCTAGTCTGCGGGGCAGGCGCCTGTTAGTTGTTTTTCACCGGCCCCGCCCGCGCGAAGGGGAGGGGAGGCCCCCCTGTCCTTTTCTTCCCTCGCGAGTCCTCGACAATTCTTCCCTCGCCCTAAAAAAGGCGGAGCCTGCTAGGCAGGCTGACTGTTATCTGGAGGATTCAGCACGGTTTGACGGACAAAACTTGGCAAACGCCAACAGAACGCAGCGGAATTCTTCGTCAGACCCAGCCTGCGTAGCAAGCGTTTCTGTGCAGTTTAGGAGAAAAGAACGAGGAACGAGAGTCAAAGACCGCGAGAAAAGTGGCGCAAGTAAAAGAGCGGGGAGGGGGTGAGTATACCACAAGTCCCCTTGTATTTCTTTGCTCAGAAACCAAACGGAAACGCTTGCTACGCAGGCTACGTCTTGGCTACGTCAGACTCTGTCCACCTTCTCCTACGTCCGAGGAAGACTGGGTAAAAACACGCTGAGTCATCACTTCATCATTGCCAACTCTTGCAAATCTCAGAAATCTATAAATTGCTGAAGGTAAGGAGAGCTTCTCAGTACATTATATACGTATCTTAGAGTGATTTACGTGTTAGAATTAATCGTCACAAGAAAAGAGCTAAGATTTTAAGCCTGTATTGATCTACGAGTTCGCCTCGCTTGGCTCATAAAGCGCCTGTTATGCAGGCGAGTACTGATGAACATATGTTTACCGCTTGGTTAAATTGTTGCTCAGAAATCCCATGAGTGTATCGGATTGAGCTGATTATATTTATGGGGGGTGATTACCGCCAAAATGAGATGTTGTATTAGGCTATTCTATGGTGATCTTTTAGACTCCACAATAGGCCATTTTACAGTTATGGATGGAAGCGAGGCTGACGCTTGTTTCGATACAAACCTTCCTGCTTTATTATGTAAATCAAGTTATTCTTATGCTTACTAGTATTTTTCAAGAACAATTTCCATAACAAAGCAAAGAAGGTTTGTATCAAAACAAGGTCACGCTCACCCTCGCTTCCATCCATAACTGTAAAATGGCTTATTGGTGTTATGTCCTCTTTGTTTGGCATTGTAAATTCCATTCGTCCATTCTGTATTTTGTTATGTATTTACACATTCTATTATGTATTGGATTCTTCTATTCTAACATGACGTTTTAGACTTTTGTGGTGATGTTTTGCTCTTTCTATTTGGCAGTGTAAATTTGTGTATCTTATTGTGCAATTCTACATTCTATTATGCACTTATGTATCCCGGGGTGGGAGGGGGGTTGTTACTTGGTTTAATTTTTGCCAGGTATGTGCCGCTGGCCTCTCAGAGCCCCTACCCCATTATAGTCTAATCTGTGGCCAATTATAGAGCCCTTATTAGTCGCTCTTGGGAAAATATGTAATTTTTGCAATCCCAGCTTAGTCACTTTCTATTTATGTATCTACCTTATACTCTACTTTTCACCAACAGTACAAACATTCTGGTATGTCTGGTAACTGCTAATATGAAGAACTGTCTTACCCTAAAAATCAGAAAATTTACCACTCCATTCTAGTAACTCTATCGAAAATGCGATCCCTTTATAGTCAATCCAATCGTGAAAATGCAACCCATCCAGCGGCACATCCCCATTAGCCTCTTATAAGGAAGTACCCTCCCCAGGTTATGTATGTTATCATCCAAGATTGGGTTACTTCCGGAATTTTTGTATTCTGTTTTGCGTTCCCGTATTATGATCTGTTTCATCTTGTGAATCGAAGTTGTATTATGCTTACGTCATATCCTGCATGGCACTCAGTGGACAAAAATTAGACGACCGGGCAGGGGGAATGGGTATCATTCTAAGCCACGTTGCCATTTTCTGCCATCCGCTGTCAAAATGGCGGACAATGTTGATAAGACGGATCGAAAAGAAGAAGAGCATTGATCAAGGTTTAAAGCTTTTAAGGGGGGCAAAAGAGTTACTTTCTGGTTCCTTAAGTGATAATATTGTTGGTTTACACATGACGTCACTAAAATTCAAACTAAAAAACTATCGATCCTACCGAGATTTTACTTTCACGATGCATTAGAGCAGCTGAAAACTAATTTTCATAGAAATTTTCGCTTCAAAAGGGTTCTTGGTTTTGTGATAGAGTACGCTTGAATTTCTAAGCGTTTGCGTGACGCGGCTTTTACGTGACGGCCAAGAGAGCTGTCATGTAGGTTAAAAAAATGACCTATTTCAGGAAATTTTGCTATCTAAACTGTTCATGTATTACAAAAAGTATTACTTTAATGTTTATGAGTTTCTCTCAGAATAAATTCATGCTTTTGTAGCAAAACTCGGTAACAGATGTTTTTGCTGGTTTCCGTCTGCCATGTTGGAGCTCATCCAGGTAAGCACCAGCATGGCGTCTCCATACAAATCTCTATAAGTTTGGGTAAAACATTTCTTCGGATATCTTGTATACGAAAAATTCCTCTGACCTGAATCTTGATGAGGGTCTTTGTATATGTACCTCCTTTCATTTCCCAGATTCTGGACTTTATCTATTGAACAGTTTTGATTTTTATTTTGATGTATTTTGAATGGCGTGACAAAGAAAACCAGCAATTCCTCTGGTTAATAGTACAGATCCATTCCTAATCAAAACAGAAGTGAGAGAATTGCCTCAAATCTTCGCGCGCTTTTCAGTGCATACGATGATAGCCCTGTTAATACTCGACGTCCTGCTCCACAAAGTAGAAATCAAATTGCAAGTCCGCCAAAAAGGAGAGGAAGGCATGCTTCCGTGTTTTCAAGCCTCAGAAAACATGGACACATGAATTTCTGTCTGTCGTACTGTGAACAAGACGTTGTTTTGTTTTTTTTATCATGTTTCCTCAACAGACTTTGAAGGGAAAATAGAGGGTCTGTAACCCGAGGCTATAATGGAAGCTAGAATGTACTCTTTGGTCAACAATTCCAGCATCAAAACAGCCGAGTATAAGTCTATACAGACAATCTAGTCGATATTGCACGTGATCCTGATCTGAGTCACCATTTCCTGACTCTGTCTCAAAATATTGAGCAATACGTTCCGAAGGTGGTTTCTGACTGCAACATGACTGTCGACATTGTGCGCCTTTTAAACAGCGGATGGCAGAAAATGGCAGCGTCGTTGAGAACGATACCCATTCCCCCTGCTTGGCCGTCTAATTTTTGCCCACTGAGTGCCGTGCAGGATATGACGTAAGCATAATACAACTTCACAAGCTGAAACAGATCATAATACTGGGACGCAAAACAGAATACAAAAATTCCGAAAGTAACCCAATCTTGGATGATAACATACATAAGTGCATAGAATGTAGAATTGCACAATAGCTTACAGAACTTTACACTGCCAAGTAGAAAGAGCAAAACATCACCACAGAAGTCTAAAATGTCATATGTTAGAATAGCAGAATACAATACATAATAGAATGTGTAAATACATAAAAAAATACAGAATGGACGAATGGAATTTACAATGCCAAATAGAGAGGACATAACACCAATTATTGTGGAGTCTGAAAGATCATAATAGAATAGCAATACCACATCTCATTTTGGCGGTAATCACCCCTCATATATATTTGCCTTTGTAACAAGCATTTCTGCGCGAACTTGTTAAACAAAAGGGTTCCACCTTCAACAAACTCGCGTTGAAACGCTTGGTTAGGACTGTCATTAAGAGCCGCGGACCGAGGATTTCCCCACCCATTAGGCCATCCCAATTTAATGCTTTGTTTCCCATCGCCCGACTGACCCATTTTTTTTAGAAAAGTAAAAAAAAAATTCCAGAATCACTTGTAAAGAAGCAAGTACTTTAAATCTTGTCTTATTAACACCAATTGTCCTAAATTATCATCGATACTTCGTTTTTGTAGCCTTTTTAGACATTTGATAGTCCTGTTTCACCATCTGATTATATCTTGCAGACTAAACGTGAGATTTACTGGCACCCAGACCCCTTCATTCTTTTTTTTTTTTTTTGCCCAACCGACCGACCCACCTTCACGAGAGGGAGGGTGATAAGAAACGAAACATTTTATTGGGATGGCCTTATGAACATGGCTCCGGCTACTTTAATAGGTAAATAGAAGAAAAATAGAACCAAAAGAATTCCCTAGCTGTTTGATTCCCCACCTACTTGTTGTATTTACCCGGCAACTTGAAATCTTAGAGACATCACTGCTTGTTACACTGCTTATAGCGGACAGACAGACTTAAGTTATAGGGTTCCCAGAGATTTATGAGATTTAAAACTAACAGTTTAGTGGAGATATATCGTTGGTTTAGTTAGGCTGTGTTTCAAAGACGAGCGGGGTGGGGGCGGTTAGGATTTTGTAAATATGGGAGATCTAAAATCTGGAAATTGCCTCTCTTAAAGTAATTTGCAACATCAGCCACCCCACCCTGCATAACTGCGAATCAACCCATGGGTGTGGCTATGGACATTATACAAAGTCTTACCTAAAGTATATACTGTCAAATTAAATTCCACCTTGTTAACAAAATAATCTTGACTGGGAAAACTGGGTTAAAAAGCAAATTTCGTGACCAGTGTGGGAGATAATCTAGGCATATATGTTACTGGGCCCTGAACACTGCTGTGTTCTCACTCAAGATCACGGTATCAATAGTTTTGCAAATAACACAAAACTGTGGGTTGACCAAAGAAAATGGACTGGTTTCTTAGCAAGACAAGGTTTAAAAATGTCAGCTTCAACGGTACAATGGTAAATAATTTTATTGCACCTATAATTACTAATTACATGTAACAAATCAGGAACATTTAAACAATGTTTGTATTGTTGCAAGTACATTTGGGAGTTTGTCCAGATCTTGTTGTTTAAGATAGTTGAGGCTTTAACAAATAACTTGATTTATTTCATGATGAAAAGGATTGGTAAAGGAAGCTGCATGTCTTCAAAAAGGGAACAGAGTGGAACATTCTTCACAAAAGTAAGAAACCTAAAAGAACAACACAGAGTCCACACGGGAAAGAAGTCTTACAAATGTAAACAGGGTGGCAAATGTTTTAGAGGAACAGTAGAACTAACAACACATGATGAACGAGTTCACACTGGAAAAAAACCTTATGAATGTAAGCAATGTGGCAAGAGTTTTAGTCAATCAGGAAACCTAAAGTCACATCAGAGAGTCCACACGGGAGAGAAGCCTTTTGAAAGTACACGGTGTGGCAAGTGTTTTAGCAGAGTAGGGGACCAGAAAAGACATGAAAGAGTTCATACAGGAGAGAGGCCTTATGAATGTAAACAGTGTGGCAAGTGTTTTCAACGTCGAGGACATTTGAGGATGCATGAAAGAGTTCATACTGGAGAGAGGCCTTGTGAATGTAAACAGTGTGGCAAGTGTTTTCAATATACAGGAAGTCTGAGGATGCATGAAAGAGTTCATACTGGAGAGAGGCCTTATGAATGTAAACAGTGCGGCAAGTGTTTTAAACAGACAGGAAGTTTGAGGATGCATGAAAGAGTTCATACTGGAGAGAGGCCTTATGAATGTAAACAGTGTGGCAAGTGTTTTCAACGTAGAGGACATTTGAGGAGGCATGAAAGAGTTCATACTGGAGAGAGGCCTTATGAATGTAAACAGTGTGGCAAGTGTTTTCAACAGACAGGAATTTTGAGGAGGCATGAAAGAGTTCATACTGGAGAGAGGCCTTATGAATGTAAACAATGTGGCAAGTGTTTTCAACATACAGGAAGTTTGAGGAGGCATGAAAGAGTTCATACTGGAGAGAGGCCTTATGAATGTAAACAGTGCGGCAAGTGTTTTAAACAGACAGGAAGTTTGAGGATGCATAAAAGAGTTCATACTGGAGAGAGGCCTTTTGAATGTAAACAGTGTGGCAAATGTTTTCAACAGACAGGAAATTTGAGGATGCACGAAAGAGTTCATACTGGAGAGAGGCCTTATGAATGTAAACAGTGTGGCAAGTGTTTTCAACAGACAGGAATTTTGAGGATGCATGAAAGAGTTCATACTGGAGAGAGGCCTTATGAATGTAAACAGTGTGGCAAGTGTTTTCAACGGAAAGGAAATTTGAGGGTGCATGAAAGAGTTCATACTGGAGAGAGGCCTTATGAATGTAAACAATGTGGCAAGTGTTTTCATCATACAGGAAGTTTGAGGATGCATGAAAGAGTTCATACAGGAGAGAGGCCTTATGAATGTAAACAGTGTGGCAAGTGTTTTAAACAGACAGGAAGTTTGAGGATGCATGAAAGAGTTCATACTGGAGAGAGGCCTTATGAATGTAAACGTTGTGGCAAGTGTTTTAGCATAGTGGGTAGCCTTAGAAGACACGAAAAAGTCCACACTAAAGCAAGGTGCGGTACACGTTACAGTAAAAGACGTCCGTCTAAACGTTTGCTTCGACAGCGCAATAGCGAAGGAAGTAAGAGAATTGATATCAGTTCAGGAATTACAAACAACCAACTGACTCAAAGAGACTCTAGAAACAGAAGTCGTGTAGTAAACTTCCAATCAGCTACCGTTGAGACACACAGCTGTTGGATTTGTCAAGAGGAGATGAGTAGTGTAGCTTTTCTTCTTCAACACTATGAAAATCATATGAGGCATGTAGTTGAAGATGACTTGTAAAATGGAATGGTTCTCGTTCAGGTTTTCGTAAATTTCGTTTCTGTTCTGTTAGGTTTTGTCACTGAGTGGAAGCATGGCAACGTTTGGTTTAGGTTACTTGTCATGAGTGGCTTGTATTTTCAGTGGGTCGTTTTCTCTCCATGAAAAGTTTGAATTGTGATTTTCTTAGGTGATTTGATGTAGTTGGCAGCTGTTGCTTTTTTGTTGACGGGAAGAAAAATTCTTTTGCAATCCCGTTATGTTCTTTTTGCGATGGATAATTCAACCAACTTTTTGAAAGAGAAAACATTTGTGGACTATTTTGAAATTTAACATATGGACAGACAATCCTATGAGATGAGCTCGTTGAATATCTTTAGAAAATATAATAATACAATAAAGCAGCCAGAGGTTTAAAACGATTAAAACGTAATGGATCAAAGGTGTGTAAAATGTAGATTTTTTACTTAATATGCGGTTTTAGTGTACTATGTTCTCGACCCTACGAGCAGTTAGCTTCAACTATTTTATCGAGTACTTATAAAGGTAATAATAATAATAAATAATAATAATAATAATAATAATAATAATAATAATAATAATAAAACTTTTTGTTAAGGGTAACATTTCATATTTCTCGATAATCTACACTTGGCCCGTGGAAAAATAATGAATAAAAAAGACAAAAATCGATAAAAAAAACCCCTATGATTCATAGGCGAGAATTTGAAGATTAACTAACGAAGGAATTGCTAAAGATTGTCCACTTCAATTCGCTTAAGTTTTTTTTTCGAAAGACGTCAAGGTTGTATATATATGTAAAGTGAAATCAATTGGATAACCGATCGTACTTCCAGTGACATCGGCGAAGCAGAATTCTGTCACAGACACCTCAGCGCTCTCCGGTGAGGATTAAAGACCGGACCGGCAGAAAAGAGGTAGCCTGCGCGCAAGCTCTCCATTTTGGGAAGTCGCGACAAGTCACGGAAGAGCAACGACTTGCCCTAGCGTGTTTTTTCCCGGCTCGTTTCTCTCGCCATAATTGAAGAATTTCCTTGCAGGCTAGGAGAGCGACAAAAATGGAGCCTACTTAATAAAGTTTCACCTGAAAAAAATGTTCAAACTGTTAGAGGTTTAAAGGTAACCATATTGTATGTATTCCGGATAAAGAAAGGCCGAGTTTGCATTAGACAAATTTAGAAGTAATATGATGATCTTTTAACGCAACTTTTTTTTTGCAACGTATTGTACCGTTGTCTAGTCTGCGGGGCAGGCGCCTGTTAGTTGTTTTTCACCGGCCCCGCCCGCGCGAAGGGGAGGGGAGGCCCCCCTGTCCTTTTCTTCCCTCGCGAGTCCTCGACAATTCTTCCCTCGCCCTAAAAAAGGCGGAGCCTGCTAGGCAGGCTGACTGTTATCTGGAGGATTCAGCACGGTTTGACGGACAAAACTTGGCAAACGCCAACAGAACGCAGCGGAATTCTTCGTCAGACCCAGCCTGCGTAGCAAGCGTTTCTGTGCAGTTTAGGAGAAAAGAACGAGGAACGAGGAACGGAAACGCTTGCTACGCAGGCTACGTCTTGGCTACGTCAGACTCTGTCCACCTTCTCCTACGTCCGAGGAAGACTGGGTAAAAACACGCTGAGTTATCACTTCATCATTGCCAACTCTTGCAAATCTCAGAAATCTATAAATTGCTGAAGGTAAGGAGAGCTTCTCAGTACATTATATACATATCTTAGAGTGATTTACGTGTTAGAATTAATCGTCACAAGAAAAGAGCTAAGATTTTAAGCCTGTATTGATCTACGAGTTGGAGTTCGCCTCGCTTGGCTCATAAAGCGCCTGTTATGCAGGCGAGTACTGATGAACATATGTTTACCGCTAGGTTTAATTGTCGCTCAGAAATCCCATGAGTGTATTGGATTGAGCTGATTATATTTATGGGGGGTGATTACCGCCAAAATGAGATGTTGTATTATGCTATTCTATGGTGATCTTTTAGACTCCACAATAGGCCATTTTACAGTTATGGATGGAAGCGAGGCTGAGGCTTGTTTGGATACAAACCTTCCTGCTTTATAATGTAAATCAAGTTATTCTTATGCTTACTAGTATTTTTCAAGAACAATTTCCACAACAAAGCAAAGAAGGTTTGTATCAAAACAAGGTCACCCTCACCCTCGCTTCCATCCATAACTGCAAAATGGCTTATTGGTGTTATGTCCTCTTTGTTTGGCATTGTAAATTCCATTCGTCCATTCTGTATTTTGTTATGTATTTACACATTCTATTATGTATTGTATTCTGCTATCCTAACATGACGTTTTAGACTTTTGTGGTGATGTTTTGCTCTTTCTATTTGGCAGTGTAAATTTCTGTATCTTATTGTGCAATTCTACATTCTATTATGCACTTATGTATCCGGGGGGGGGGCTACTTGGTTTAATTTTTGCCGGGTATGTGCCGCTGGCTTCTCAGAGCCCCTACGCCATTATAGTCTATTCTGTGGCCAATTATAGACCCCTTATTAGTCGCTCTTGGGAAAATATGTAATTTTTGCAATCCCAGCTTAGTCACTTTCTATTTATGTATCTACCTTATACTCTACTTTTCACCAACAGTACAAACATTCTGTTATGTCTGGTAACTGCTAATATGAAGAACTGTCTTACCCTAAAAATCAGAAAATTTACGACTCCTTTCTAGTAACTATCGAAAATGCGACCCCTTTATAGTCAATCCAATCGTGAAAATGCAACCCATCCAGCGGCACATCCCCATTAGCCTCTTATAAGGAAGTACCCTCCCCAGGTTATGTATGTTATCATCCAAGATTGGGTTACTTCCTGAATTTTTGTATTCTGTTTTGCGTTCCCGTATTATGATCTGTTTCATCTTGTGAATCGAAGTTGTATTATGCTTACGTCATATCCTGCATGGCACTCAGTGGACAAAAATTAGACGACCGAGCAGGGGGAATGCGTATCATTCTAAGCCACGTTGCCATTTTCTGCCATCCGCTGTCAAAATGGCGGACAATGTTGATAAGACGGATCGAAAAGAAGACGAGCATTGATCAAGGTTTAAAGCTTTTAAGAGAGGCAAAAGAGTTACTTTCTGGTTCCTTAAGTGATAATATTGTTGGTTTACACATGACGTCACTAAAATTCAAACTAAAAAACTATCGATCCTACCGAGATTTTACTTTCACGATGCATTAGAGCAGCTGAAAACTAATTTTCACAGAAATTTTCGCTTCAAAAGGGTTCTTGGTTTTGTGATAGAGTACGCTTGAATTTCTAAGCGTTTGCGTGACGCGGCTTTTACGTGACGGCCAAGAGAGCTGTCATGTAGGTTAAAAAAATGACTTATTTCAGGAAATTTTGCTATCTAAACTGTTCATGTATTACAAAAAGTATTACTTTAATGTTTATGAGTTTCTCGCAGAATAAATTCATGCTTTTGTAGCAAAACTCGGTAACAGATGTTTTTGTTGGTTTCCGTCTGCCATGTTGGAGCTCATCCAGGTAAGCACCAGCATGGCGTCTCCATACAAATCTCTATAAGTTTGGGTAAAACATTTCTTCGGATATCTTGTATACGAAAAATTCCTCTGACCTGAATCTTGATGAGGGTCTTTGTATATGTACCTCCTTTCATTTCCCAGATTCTGGACTAATTTATCTATTCAACAGTTTTGATTTTTATTTTGATGTATTTTGAATGGCGTGAAAAAAAAAACCAGCAATTCCTCTGGTTAATAGTACAGATCCATTCCTAATCAAAACAGAAGTGAGAGAATTGCCTCAAATCTTCGCGCGCTTTTCAGTGCATACGATGATAGCCCTGTTAATACTCGACGTCCTGCTCCACAAAGTAGAAATCAAATTGCAAGTCCGCCAAAAAGGAGAGGAAGGCATGCTTCCGTGTTTTCAAGCCTCAGAAAACATGGACACATGAATTTCTGTCTGTCGTACTGTGAACAAGACGTTGTTTTGTTTTTTTATCATGTTTCCTCAACAGACTTTGAAGGGAAAATAGAGGGTCTGTAACCAGGCTAAAATGGAAGCTAGAATGTACTCTTTGGTCAACAATTCCAGCATCAAAACAGCCGAGTATAAGTCTATACAGACAATCTAGTCGATATTGCACGTGATCCAGGGTGTCTGAGTCACCATTTCCTGACTCTGTCTCAAAATATTGAGCAATACGTTCCGAAGGTGGTTTCTGACTGCAACATGACTGTCAACATTGTGCTCCTTTTAAACAGCGGATGGCAGAAAATGGCAGTGTCGTTGAGAACGATACCCATTCCCCCTGCTTGGCCGTCTAATTTTTGCCCACCGAGTGCCATGAAGGATATGACGTAAGCATAATACAACTTCACAAGCTGAAACAGATCATAATACTGGGACGCAAAACAGAATACAAAAATTCCGAAAGTAACCCAATCTTGGATGATAACATACATAAGTGCATAGAATGTAGAATTGCACAATAGCTTACAGAACTTTACACTGCCAAGTAGAAAGGGCAAAACATCACCACAGAAGTCTAAAATGTCATATGTTAGAATAGCAGAATACAATACATAATAGAATGTGTAAATACATAAAAAAATACAGAATGGACGAATGGAATTTACAATGCCAAATAGAGAGGACATAACACCAATTATTGTGGAGTCTAAAAGATCATAATAGAATAGCAATACCACATCTCATTTTGGCGGTAATCACCCCTCATATATATTTGCCTTTGTAACAAGCATTTCTGTGCGAACTTGTTAAACAAAAGGGTTCCACCTTCAACAAACTCGTGTTGAAACGCTTGGTTAGGACTGTCATTAAGAGCCGGGGACCGAGGATTTCCCCACCCATTAGGCCATCCCAATTTAATGCTTTGTTTCCCATCGCCTGACTGACCCATTTTTTTTGGAAAAGTAAAAAAAAAATTCCAGAATCACTTGTAAAGAAGTAAGTACTTTAAATCTTGTCTTATTAACACCAACTGTCATAAATTATCATCGATACTTCGTTTTTGTAGCCTTTTTAGACATTTGATAGTCCTGTTTCACCATCTGATTATATCTTGCAGACTAAACGTGAGATTTACTGGCACCCAGACCCCTTCATTCTTTTTTTTTTTTTGCCCAACCGACTGACCCACCTTCACGAGAGGGAGGGTGATAAGAAACGAAACATTTTATTGGGATGGCCTTATGAACATGGTCCCGGCTACTTTCATAGGTAAATAGAAGAAAAATAGAACCAAAAGAAATCCCTAGCTGTTTGATTCCCCACCTACTTGTTGTATTTACCCGGCAACTTGAAATCTTAGAGACATCACTGCTTGTTACGCTGCTTATAGCGGACAGACAGACTTAAGTTATAGGGTTCCCAGAGATTTATGAGATTTAAAACTAACAGTTTAGTGGAGATATATCGTTGTTTTAGTTAGGCTGTGTTTCAAAGACGAGCGGGGTGGGGGCGGTTAGGATTTTGTAAATATGGGAGATCTAAAATCTGGAAATTGCCTCTCTTAAAGTAATTTGCAACATCAGCCACCCCACCCTGCATAACTGCGAATCAACCCATGGGTGTGGCTATGGACATTATACAAAGTCTTACCTAAAGTATATACTGTCAAATTAAATTCCGCTTTGTTAACAAAATAATCTTGACTGGGAAAACTGGGTTAAAAAGCAAATTTCGTGACCAGTGTGGGAGATAATCTAGGCATATATGTTACTGGGCCCTGAACACTGCTGTGTTCTCATTCAAGATCACGGTATCAATAGTTTTGCAAATAACACAAAACTGTGGGTTGACCAAAGAAAATGGACTGGTTTCTTAGCAAGACAAGGTTTAAAAATGTCAGCTTCAATGGTACAATGGTAAATAATTTCATTGCACCTATAATTACTAATTACATGTAACAAATCAGGAACATTTAAACAATGTTTGTATTGTTGCAAGTACATTTGGGAGTTTGTCCAGATCTTGTTGTTTAAGATAGTTGAGGCTTTAACAAATAACTTGATTTATTTCATGATGAAAAGGATTGGTAAAGGAAGCTGCATGTCTTCAAAAAGGGAACAGAGTGGAACATTCTTCACAAAAGTAAGAAACCTAAAAGAACAACAGAGAATCCACACGGGAAAGAAGTCTTACAAATGTAAACAGGGTGGCAAATGTTTTAGAGGAACAGTAGAACTAACAACACATGATGAACGAGTTCACACTGGAAAAAAACCTTATGAATGTAAGCAATGTGGCAAGAGTTTTAGTCAATCAGGAAACCTAAAGTCACATCAGAGAGTCCACACGGGAGAGAAGCCTTTTAAAAGTACACGGTGTGGCAAGTGTTTTAGCAGAGTAGGGGACCAGAAAACACATGAAAGAGTTCATACAGGAGAGAAGCCATATGAATGTAAACAGTGTGGCAAGTGTTTTAGCAGAGTAGGGGACCAGAAAAGACATGAAAGAGTTCATACAGGAGAGAGGCCTTATGAATGTAAACAGTGTGGCAAGTGTTTTCAACGTCGAGGACATTTGAGGATGCATGAAAGAGTTCATACTGGAGAGAGGCCTTGTGAATGTAAACAGTGTGGCAAGTGTTTTCATCATACAGGGAGTCTGAGGATGCATGAAAGAGTTCATACTGGAGAGAGGCCTTATGAATGTAAACAGTGCGGCAAGTGTTTTAAACAGACAGGAAGTTTGAGGATGCATGAAAGAGTTCATACTGGAGAGAGGCCTTATGAATGTAAACAGTGTGGCAAGTGTTTTCAACAGACAGGAATTTTGAGGAGGCATGAAAGAGTTCATACTGGAGAGAGGCCTTATGAATGTAAACAGTGTGGCAAGTGTTTTCAACGGAAAGGAAATTTGAGGGTGCATGAAAGAGTTCATACTGGAGAGAGGCCTTATGAATGTAAACAATGTGGCAAGTGTTTTCATCGTACAGGAAGTTTGAGGATGCATGAAAGAGTTCATACTGGAGAGAGGCCTTATGAATGTAAACATTGTCGCAAGTGTTTTCAACGTGGAGGACATTTGAAGAGGCATGAAAGAGTTCATACTGGAGAGAGGCCTTATGAATGTAAACAGTGTGGCAAGTGTTTTCAACAGACAGGAAATTTGAGGATGCATGAAAGAGTTCATACTGGAGAGAGGCCTTATGAATGTAAACAGTGTGGCAAGTGTTTTCAACGGAAAGGAAATTTGAGGGTGCATGAAAGAGTTCATACTGGAGAGAGGCCTTATGAATGTAAACAATGTGGCAAGTGTTTTCATCATACAGGAAGTTTGAGGATGCATGAAAGAGTTCATACTGGAGAGAGGCCTTATGAATGTAAACAGTGCGGCAAGTGTTTTAAACAGACAGGAAGTTTGAGGATGCATGAAAGAGTTCATACTGGAGAGAGGCCTTATGAATGTAAACGTTGTGGCAAGTGTTTTAGCATAGTGGGTAGCCTTAGAAGACACGAAAAAGTCCACACTAAAGCAAGGTGCGGTACACGTTACAGTAAAAGACGTCCGTCTAAACGTTTGCTTCGACAGCGCAATAGCGAAGGAAGTAAGAGAATTGATATCAGTTCAGGAATTACAAACAACCAACTGACTCAAAGAGACTCTAGAAACAGAAGTCGTGTAGTAAACTGCCAATCAGCTACCGTTGAGACAAACAGCTGTTGGATTTGTCAAGAGGAGATGAGTAGTGTAGCTTTTCTTCTTCAACACTATGAAAATCATATGAGGCATGTAGTTGAAGATGACTTGTAAAATGGAATGGTTCTCGTTCAGGTTTTCGTGAATTTCGTTTCTGTTCTGTTAGGTTTTGTCATTGAGTGGAAGCATGGCAACGTTTGGTTTAGGTTACTTGTCATGAGTGGCTTGTATTTTCAGTGCGTTGTTTTCTCTCCATGAAAAGTTTGAATTGTGATTTTCTTAGGTGATTTGATGTAGTTGGCAGCTGTTGCTTTTTTGTTGACGGGAAGAAAAATTCTTTTGCAATCCCGTTATGTTCTTTTTGCGATGGATAATTCAACCAACTTTTTGAAAGAGAAAACATTTGTGGACTATTTTGAAATTTAACATATGGACAGACAATCCTATGAGATGAGCTCGTTGAATATCTTTAGAAAATATAATAATACAATAAAGCAGCCAGAGGTTTAAAACGATTAAAACGTAATGGATCAAAGGTGTGTAAAATGTAGATTTTTTACTTAATATGCGGTTTTAATGTACTATGTTCTCGACCCTACGAGCAGTTAGCTTCAACTATTTTATCGAGTACTTATAAAGGTAATAATAATAAATAATAATAATAATAATAATAATAATAATAAAACTTTTTGTTAAGGGTAACATTTCATATTTCTCGATAATCTACACTTGGCCCGTGGAAAAATAATGAATAAAAAAGACAAAAATCGATAAAAAAACCCCCTATGATTCATAGGCGAGAATTTGAAGATTAACTAACGAAGGAATTGCTAAAGATTGTCCACTTCAATCCGCTTAAGTTTTTTTTTCGAAAGACGTCAAGGTTGTATATATATGTAAAGTGAAATCAATTGGATAACCGATCGTACTTCCAGTGACATCGGCGAAGCAGAATTCTGTCACAGACAACTCAGCGCTCTCCGGTGAGGATTAAAGACCGGACCGGCAGAAAAGAGGTACCCTGCGCGCAAGCTCTCCATTTTGGAAAGTCGCGACAAGTCACGGAAGAGCAACGACTTGCCCTAGCGTGTTTTCTCTCGGCTCGTTTCTCTCGCCATGATTGAAGAATTTCCTTGCAGGATAGGAGAGCGACAAAAATGGAGCCTACTTAATAAAGTTTCACCTGAAAAAAATGTTCAAACTGTTAGAGGTTTAAAGGTAACCATATTGTATGTATTCCGGATAAAGAAAGGCCGAGTTTGCATTAGGCAAATTTAGAAGTAATATGATGATCTTTTAACGCAACTTTTTTTTTGCAACGTATTGTACCGTTGTCTAGTCTGCGGGGCAGGCGCCTGTTAGTTGTTTTTCACCGGCCCCGCCCGCGCGAAGGGGAGGGGAGGCCCCCCTGTCCTTTTCTTCCCTCGCGAGTCCTCGACAATTCTTCCCTCGCCCTAAAAAAGGCGGAGCCTGCTAGGCAGGCTGACTGTTATCTGGAGGATTCAGCACGGTTTGACGGACAAAACTTGGCAAACGCCAACAGAACGCAGCGGAATTCTTCGTCAGACCCAGCCTGCGTAGCAAGCGTTTCTGTGCAGTTTAGGAGAAAAGAACGAGGAACGATAGTCAAAGACCGCGAGAAAAGTGGCGCAAGTAAAAGAGCGGGGAGGGGGTGAGTATACCACAAGTCCCCTTGTATTTCTTTGCTCCGAAACCAAACGGAAACGCTTGCTACGCAGGCTACGTCTTGGCTACGTCAGACTCTGTCCACCTTCTCCTACGTCCGAGGAAGACTGGGTAAAAACACGCTGAGTCATCACTTCATAATTGCCGACTCTTGCAAATCTCAAAAATCTATAAATTGTTGAAGGTAAGGAGAGCTTCTCAGTACATTATATACATATCTTAGAGTGATTTACGTGTTAGAATTAATCGTCACAAGAAAAGAGCTAAGATTTTAAGCCTGTATTGATCTACGAGTTCGCCTCGCTTGGCTCATAAAGCGCCTCTTATGCAGGCGAGTACTGATGAACATATGTTTACCGCTAGGTTTAATTGTCGCTCAGAAATCCCATGAGTGTATCGGATTGAGGTGATTATATTTATGGGGGGTGATTACCGCCAAAATGAGATGTTGTATTATGCTATTCTATGGTGATCTTTTAGACTCCACAATAGGCCATTTTACAGTTATGGATGGAAGCGAGGCTGAGGCTTGTTTGGATACAAACCTTCCTGCTTTATTATGTAAATCAAGTTATTCTTATGCTTACTAGTATTTTTCAAGAACAATTTCCACAACAAAGCAAAGAAGGTTTGTATCAAAACAAGGTCACCCTCACCCTCGCTTCCGTCCATAACTGTAAAATGGCTTATTGGTGTTATGTCCTCTTTGTTTGGCATTGTAAATTCCATTCGTCCATTCTGTATTTTGTTATGTATTTACACATTCTATTATGTATTGTATTCTGCTATCCTAACATGACGTTTTAGACTTTTGTTGTGATGTTTTGCTCTTTCTATTTGGCAGTGTAAATTTCTGTATCTTATTGTGCAATTCTACATTCTATTATGCACTTATGTATCCCGGGGGGGAAGGGGGGTTGTTACTTGGTTTAATTTTTGCCGGGTATGTGCCGCTGGCCTCTCAGAGCCCCTGCCCCATTATAGTTTATTCTGTGGCCAATTATAGACCCCTTATTAGTCGCTCTTGGGAAAATATGTAATTTTTGCAATCCCAGCTTAGTCACTTTCTATTTATGTATCTACCTTATACTCTACTTTTCACCAACAGTACAAACATTCTGGTATGTCTGGTAACTGCTAATATGAAGAACTGTCTTACCCTAAAAATCAGAAAATTTACGACTCCATTCTAGTAACTCTATCGAAAATGCGACCCCTTTATAGTCAATCCAATCGTGAAAATGCAACCCATCCAGCGGCACATCCCCATTAGCCTCTTATAAGGAAGTACCCTCCCCAGGTTATGTATGTTATCATCCAAGATTGGGTTACTTCCTGAATTTTTGTATTCTGTTTTGCGTTCCCGTATTATGATCTGTTTCATCTTGTGAATCGAAGTTGTATTATGCTTACGTCATATCCTGCATGGCACTCAGTGGACAAAAATTAGACGACCGAGCAGGGGGAATGGGTATCATTCTAAGCCACGTTGCCATTTTCTGCCATCCGCTGTCAAAATGGCGGACAATGTTGATAAGACGGATCGAAAAGAAGACGAGCATTGATCAAGGTTTAAAGCTTTTAAGGGAGGCAAAAGAGTTACTTTCTGGTTCCTTAAGTGATAATATTGTTGGTTTACACATGACGTCACTAAAATTGAAACTAAAAAACTATCGATCCTACCGAGATTTTACTTTCACGATGCATTAGAGCAGCTGAAAACTAATTTTCATAGAAATTTTCGCTTCAAAAGGGTTCTTGGTTTTGTGATAGAGTACGCTTGAATTTCTAAGCGTTTGCGTGACGCGGCTTTTACGTGACAGCCAAGAGAGCTGTCATGTAGGTTAAAAAAATGACTTATTTCAGGAAATTTTGCTATCTAAACTGTTCATGTATTACAAAAAGTATTACTTTAATGTTTATGAGTTTCTCGCAGAATAAATTCATGCTTTTGTAGCAAAACTCGGTAACAGATGTTTTTGTTGGTTTCCGTCTGCCATGTTGGAGCTCATCCAGGTAAGCACCAGCATGGCGTCTCCATACAAATCTCTATAAGTTTGGGTAAAACATTTCTTCGGATATCTTGTATACGAAAAATTCCTCTGACCTGAATCTTGATGAGGGTCTTTGTATATGTACCTCCTTTCATTTCCCAGATTCTGGACTAATTTATCTATTCAACAGTTTTGATTTTTATTTTGATGTATTTTGAATGGCGTGAAAAAAAAAACCAGCAATTCCTCTGGTTAATAGTACAGATCCATTCCTAATCAAAACAGAAGTGAGAGAATTGCCTCAAATCTTCGCGCGCTTTTCAGTGCATACGATGATAGCCCTGTTAATACTCGACGTCCTGCTCCACAAAGTAGAAATCAAATTGCAAGTCCGCCAAAAAGGAGAGGAAGGCATGCTTCCGTGTTTTCAAGCCTCAGAAAACATGGACACATGAATTTCTGTCTGTCGTACTGTGAACAAGACGTTGTTTTGTTTTTTTTATCATGTTTCCTCAACAGACTTTGAAGGGAAAATAGAGGGTCTGTAACCCGAAAATGGAAGCTAGAATGTACTCTTTGGTCAACAATTCCAGCATCAAAACAGCCGAGTATAAGTCTATACAGACAATCTAGTCGATATTGCACGTGATCCAGGGTGTCTGAGTCACCATTTCCTGACTCTGTCTCAAAATATTGAGCAATATGTTCCGAAGGTGGTTTCTGACTGCAACATGACTGTCGACATTGTGCGCCTTTTAAACAGCGGATGGCAGAAAATGGCAGCGTCGTTGAGAATGATACCCATTCCCCCTGCTTGGCCGTCTAATTTTTGCCCACTGAGTGCCATGCAGGATATGACGTAAGCATAAACCAACTTCACAAGCTGAAACAGATCATAATACTGGGACGCAAAACAGAATACAAAAATTCCGAAAGTAACCCAATCTTGGATGATAACATACATAAGTGCATAGAATGTAGAATTGCACAATAGCTTACAGAACTTTACACTGCCAAGTAGAAAGAGCAAAACATCACCACAGAAGTCTAAAATGTCATATGTTAGAATAGCAGAATACAATACATAATAGAATGTGTAAATACATAAAAAAATACAGAATGGACGAATGGAATTTACAATGCCAAATAGAGAGGACATAACACCAATTATTGTGGAGTCTAAAAGATCATAATAGAATAGCAATACCACATCTCATTTTGGTGGTAATCACCCCTCATATATATTTGCCTTTGTAACAAGCATTTCTGCGCGAACTTGTTAAACAAAAGGGTTCCACCTTCAACAAACTCGCGTTGAAACGCTTGGTTAGGACTGTCATTAAGAGCCGGGGACCGAGGATTTCCCCACCCATTAGGCCATCCCAATTTAATGCTTTGTTTCCCATCGCCTGACTGACCCAATTCCAGAATCACTTGTAAAGAAGCAAGTACTTTAAATCTTGTCTTATTAACACCAATTGTCTTAAATTATCATCGATACTTCGTTTTTGTAGCCTTTTTAGACATTTGATAGTCCTGTTTCACCATCTGATTATATCTTGCAGACTAAACGTGAGATTTACTGGCACCCAGACCCGTTCATTCTTTTTTTTTTTTTGCCCAACCGACCGACCCACCTTCACGAGAGGGAGGGTGATAAGAAACGAAACATTTTATTGGGATGGCCTTATGAACATGGCCCCGGCTACTTTCATAGGTAAATAGAAGAAAAATAGAACCAAAAGAAATCCCTAGCTGTTTGATTCCCACCTACTTGTTGTATTTACCCGGCAACTTGAAATCTTAGAGACATCCCTGCTTGTTACGCTGCTTATAGCGGACAGACAGACTTAAGTTATAGGGATCCCAGAGATTTATGAGATTTAAAACTAACAGTTTAGTGGAGATATATCGTTGTTTTAGTTAGGCTGTGTTTCAAAGACGAGCGGGGTGGGGGCGGTTAGGATTTTGTAAATATGGGAGATCTAAAATCTGGAAATTGCCTCTCTTAAAGTAATTTGCAACATCAGCCACCCCACCCTGCATAACTGCGAATCAACCCATGGGTGTGGCTATGGACATTATACAAAGTCTTACCTAAAGTATATACTGTCAAATTAAATTCCGCTTTGTTAACAAAATAATCTTGACTGGGAAAACTGGGTTAAAAAGCAAATTTCGTGACCAGTGTGGGAGATAATCTAGGCATATATGTTACTGGGCCCTGAACACTGCTGTGTTCTCATTCAAGATCACGGTATCAATAGTTTTGCAAATAACACAAAACTGTGGGTTGACCAAAGAAAATGGACTGGTTTCTTAGCAAGACAAGGTTTAAAAATGTCAGCTTCAACGGTACAATGGTAAATAATTTCATTGCACCTATAATTACTAATTACATGTAACAAATCAGGAACATTTAAACAATGTTTGTATTGTTGCAAGTACATTTGGGAGTTTGTCCAGATCTTGTTGTTTAAGATAGTTGAGGCTTTAACAAATAACTTGATTTATTTCATGATGAAAAGGATTGGTAAAGGAAGCTGCATGTCTTCAAAAAGGGAACAGAGTGGAACATTCTTCACAAAAGTAAGAAACCTAAAAGAACAACAGAGAGTCCACACGGGAAAGAAGTCTTACAAATGTAAACAGGGTGGCAAATGTTTTAGAGGAACAGTAGAACTAACAACACATGATGAACGAGTTCACACTGGAAAAAAACCTTATGAATGTAAGCAATGTGGCAAGAGTTTTAGTCAATCAGGAAACCTAAAGTCACATCAGAGAGTCCACACGGGAGAGAAGCCTTTTGAAAGTACACGGTGTGGCAAGTGTTTTAGCAGAGTAGGGGACCAGGAAAGACATGAAAGAGTTCATACAGGAGAGAAGCCATATGAATGTAAACACTGTGGCAAGTGTTTTAGCAGAGTAGGGGACCAGAAAAGACATGAAAGAGTTCATACAGGAGAGAGGCCTTATGAATGTAAACACTGTGGCAAGTGTTTTAGCAGAGTAGGGGACCAGAAAAGACATGAAAGAGTTCATACAGGAGAGAGGCCTTATGAATGTAAACAGTGTGGCAAGTGTTTTCAACGTCGAGGACATTTGAGGATGCATGAAAGAGTTCATACTGGAGAGAGGCCTTGTGAATGTAAACAGTGTGGCAAGTGTTTTCAACATACAGGAAATTTGAGGATGCATGAAAGAGTTCATACTGGAGAGAGGCCTTATGAATGTAAACAGTGTGGCAAGTGTTTTAAACAGACAGGAATTTTGAGGATGCATGAAAGAGTTCATACTGGAGAGAGGCCTTATGAATGTAAACAGTGTGGCAAGTGTTTTCAACGGAAAGGACATTTGAGGATGCATGAAAGAGTTCATACTGGAGAGAGGCCTGTTTTGTTTTTCAACATACAGGAAATTTGAGGAAAAAGAGTTCATACTGAGGGAATGTAAACAGTGTGGCAAGTGAAAGACAGTTTGAGGATGCATCAAAGAGTTCATACTGGAGAGAGGCCTTATGAATGTAAACAATGTGGCAACGGAAAGTTTGAAGGTTTCATACTGGAGAGAGGCCTTATGAATGTAAACAATGTGGCAAGTGTTTTCATCATACAGGAAGTTTGAGGATGCATGAAAGAGTTCATACTGGAGAGAGGCCTTATGAATGTAAACAGTGCGGCAAGTGTTTTAAACAGACAGGAAGTTTGAGGATGCATGAAAGAGTTCATACTGGAGAGAGGCCTTATGAATGTAAACATTGTGTCAAGTGTTTTAGCAGAGTGGGTAGCCTTAGAAGACACGAAAAAGTCCACACTAAAGCAAGGTGCGCTACACGTTACAGTAAAAGACGTCCGTCTAAACGTTTGCTTCGACAGCGCAATAGCGACGGAAGTAAGAGAATTGATATCAGTTCAGGAATTACAAACAACCTACGGACTCAAAGAGACTCTAGAAACAGAAGTCGTGTAGTAAACTTCCAATCAGCTACCGTTGAGACACACAGCTGTTGGATTTGTCAAGAGGAGATGAGTAGTGTAGCTTTTCTTCTTCAACACTATGAAAATCATATGAGGCATGTAGTTGAAGATGACTTGTAAAATGGAATGGTTCTCGTTCAGGTTTTCGTGAATTTCGTTTCTGTTCTGTTAGGTTTTGTCATTGAGTGGAAGCATGGCAACGTTTGGTTTAGGTTACTTGTCATGAGTGGCTTGTATTTTCAGTGGGTCGTTTTTTCTCCATGAAAAGTTCGAATTGTGATTTTCTTAGGTGATTTGATGTGGTTGGCAGCTGTTGCTTTTTTGTTGACGGGAAGAAAAATTCTTTTGCAATCCTGTTATGTTCTTTTTGCGATGGATAATTCAACCAACTTTTTGAAAGAGAAAACATTTGGGGACTTTTTTGAAATTTAACATATGGACAGACAATCCTATGAGATGAGCTCGTTGAATATCTTTAGAAATATAATAATACAATAAAACAGCCAGCGGTTTTTTAAAACAGTGTCTTATGAATGGCTGACTCTAGAATGACATGGAGGAAAACTTTATGTTCGCCTCGTTTCCTTGACAACCCATCCGCATAGATTTTCACATATTTCCGGATTTGAACGAAAAAAGAAAGATAACGGCTTTGTTTCAGGACGATAGCCGAGCATAAAGGTAAAAAAAGAAACACGAAATAAAATTTTGAGAACAGCGAGAACTGAACATTCGTGTTTACAGTTTATTGTGTGTTTTGTTGTAGCCTCGTGTTGAGTACTATTGCAACCCTAGTGGTTCAGAAAATATACCTATCGAGAGCGTTCTTACTTTGTTGCTATTCGCAGTCAGGAAACAGTTCTCAAATGGACTGACATTTAACATTTGGTCAAACACGCCTACAAGGACTTGAAAAATAAATTGACCCGAGAGAATGCGAGCTTCCAAATCATCTTTTTCACTTTTGTTAACTCTCAAGTGACGTAGAATGCTACCTCTTGTTCAGAGTTCTTCCATGAAAAATCATCCAGGGCCCAGTTATTGGAGGGCCAATAAACGCTAACCCGGGATTAAATTTTGATCTGGTTATCTTGCTCTTCCGTTCAAAACCATTTTATCGGTTAATTTTCTTTATTCTCTATTGCGCATCAAATCATTGCATTGCAGGCAAAAAGAACTAAACGGAATTTGGCTTTTAGGCTTTCATATCTGTATTTAAATTTCGCACTAACCCTGGGTTATCTTGACACTGTTTAGAACAACCCTGCCCAGGGTTAGTTTTCACGTTTTTGACTCTACAAAATCACACGCGTTTCGTTGACCAGGAAGTCAGAGTGAATACCCACAAAAACACATGACATTAGAAGACGCCTTATTAATATTTTTCCTCTTTCTTACTAAACATCGTCTTCGCATCCTTCTGTCAAAAAGGGAAATAACCACCCCATTTCTTATCTAAGAAAATAGCTGACATTTCGTGACGTCAACACTGGTTTCCCGCGAAATGACATCTGAGGAACGAGCTCAGACATTCCATACTGATGACATGTCACTACCCAGATCAGGGTAGTGCTTCCGATTGGTTGAGCAAATTTTTAACCAATAAGACGAACTACCCAGCTCTGGGGAGAATTTGTTTGATGACATTATTCTTCTAACTCGTTACTTGATACTTGATACATTCTTGTCGAGGTTGAGTGATCTGGCGGAGCTTGAGCAACGGCGTTTTTAAGCGACAGACGGCAACCGGCGGAAAGAGAGTTTCTGCATTCTTAGGCGGTTGTTTTGATCCAAATTTTCGGTCAATTAAATCTTCTCTTTAAGAGAAAAGAAAGGAAGCAATACAAATTTGGTAGCGTCAAATCAGTTTACAGTCAAACAGGTAACACAATAAACATCAGAAATATTTCTAGAATGTATAATATTGTGTTGCAAGAAAAAAGCAAATCGGGCGCGAGAAGCTAAACCGCAAAATGGCGGATCCAGGGGAGGGGTCCGGGGACGTGCCTATTATTTTCAAACTGAGGCCCGAAGGGCGGAAAATGTTTTTGGGCGATCCCCCCTCCGGTGAATTAAGGAATGGGGCACTGCAAATTTGGAAGGGGGTGGTCTGTTTTAGTGGGGATTTTACCTTTCGCATTAATATTTTAAATTCAATATCTACTCCCCATAAGCATTCATTTCTCTCTATTACTAATGTATTACCTGTGTCACGTGACTTGTCACACCCATTTTTGACTTTTTATTTCAATCCAAATTTACACCACTTTATAAATAACACTTGTAATTTAATTCACTTTTTGTCAATGACTATTGACACAAAGTTTATGGAGTTAATCGGGGTTTTCTTAAATTATCTACGTTTTGTAAACTATAACGTTTCTTGTTTACAGGGAGACTGGGACGAGAGAAATATATCTAATGATTACGAAGGAATGGATCATTTCACAAATCCCCGATTAATTTAGCTTATCTGACTGTAAATGAAATATTATGGAAGGAAAAACGATTGTGGTCACATTCAGTAAACTGGTGTAATCTGCAAAGTCCAAATTTTGCATAATTATGGCGTGGCTGGACACGTGATCTAATAAAAGGAGTGTTTAAGGTCCAAAGTGGCTCTGGTCTTAAACACAGCAGTCTAAGATTAAAATAAAGGAAGATACTGGAAAAAGCAAGATCAAGTCATAAAACCATTCCTTAATTCACCGGAGCCCCTTCCCCCTTATCTCAAGGTCTGGATCCGGCACTGACGTTAATTAGTTCTGTAGTTGTCCTGATCTTTGCTGTGATTGTTCGTATCAATATCTGAAATATTTCAAGTGTCCACGGTTTTGCCGGTTTGACTGGAAAAGGTAAAAGGTCTCACTTCCGGCTAAAGTACGTCGCCCTGGAGCCCTATTCCAAACAAGGTTTGTGATTGGCTGGACAAACAATAGGGATGGTGACATAACAATGCCCCTATCGCTAAAACAATAGGTAGTGCAGGTTATAGGGACCAATGAGATAAAAGGTCTGGATGCGTGCAGGTCAATCGGCCCATACTAGGCGTTTTCACGGACAGGTTTATTTTAAGATACATTTTAGCGCTCTTTTTCCCACAAAAGTGGAATCTCCGCTCCCTCTATGAGGGCAGTCGAAGTGTAAGATATCAAAAGGGAAAACTAAACTTCTTTAAAAGGCCAAACATATAATTTTTAGGTCTCTAGCTTTTGCTGACCAGCTTGGGGACTTAAAACATATTAAAAATTCGCATTAAAACTGTTCTAAAAATAACTTGGAGAAAACGCCGTGACACAAGTACATGGAAGTTACTCACCCTGGGTTATGGACTATGGGCTCCTGACGTCGTTTAAAAACGTCTTGGTTAAGCTCTCTGTTATCTCATACTAGAGGTAATCATTGATTACGAATCCGCGTTCATGACTTACGGAAAAAATCACGGTAATGAAAGCGAGTCGACAGGAGTCCAGTTTCCCGGCCGAGGTGCCCCTCATAAAATTTTCAGCTAATTTGCAGTCGCCCGTGATCTCGAAAAATTTCTTCTTTAGTGCCACAGAAACACCAGATTAGGATGCGTTCTGAAGAACGCGAGATCGGCTGAGGCCTGATCTGAGTCCGGGGTCCGGGGGGGGGCTTAACAAATTTTGATCGGGGGAGTTTCCACCCCGAGGTACAACGCCTTAACCTTTTGTATACCAATTGACTGGAAAAGGTACCCTTTTCGTATTATGCCTTCTATTGACAAATGGCTTCCCTTTCATATAAATATACCTACAAACCTGTTCAAAACGTTTGAGACTCTTTGTGTTTCAAGTGAGGAAAATGTCATTCAAGTTGATTAATTTTTCCTCGGGGACAGTAGAGCGAGCGAAACGCGAGCGCACGTGAAAATCACCCTACGCGAGAAAAGGCGACACCTAAGCATTGTGAGACATCCTTCAACGCGGGATTAATTTGACATGATCTCACATGAGAACCAGGTCAAGCGCATCCCCACAGATTGTAATAATGAATCGGTTACCTGAAAAATGAATTCATTAGTCGCTGTAGCAGTGGACTGTTCCAGGTGCGCGGTGTTCAGACGGTGAGGAGCGAGTTGAAGCAAAAAGAGGGGAGACTGGGGCGAAAGCGAGGGAAGTTCCCTCCCCTTTTCCCCTCCTTCAGCAATCTCTGGCATTGTCCCGCTGACCAAAAAGCCAGAAGACTCAGGACACGAGATTGCCCCTCTAGTCTTCCCACGCTTTTTTTTTTCTCCTCATCAATTTTTCGTCCACGCTCTAAGTAATTAAGTCAAGTTGAGAAGATTCCTGTATAAGTGGCGTCCATCTTGGATATACGCAAAGGGGTTTATCCTCACAATAAGGAATTTCTTCGATGTTTGAGTATAATCAGAAACACACTAAGGAATGATGTTTGAGGAGGTTTTAGAGCGCTCTATGGTCATCGTATTTTTTTAGGCAGGCATTCAATATATGCCTTACACGAATGAAATTAAGGAATTGGAATTTAACGTGACTATGCTGTTGTCCTTTTGCCTCAAAAGGTGTCTTTTGAGCGATTCCGGTGAACTCAGAATCCTTCCAAATCGCTCAAAAACAGCCTTTGAGGAAAATAGGACGACAGTGCACCGCGGGTATACAAGGTAAGGTAATACAAAAGTTCTATCTAGGATTTAGGAGAGAAGTCCCGGCTGGCCGAAAGCCACGAGCTTCCTCGGAGGATCCGGGGGCATGCCCCCCCCCGGAAATTTT